CGGGACTGGGACGTAAGTGCTTCCCCCTCCCGGGTGCCGAGCCGAGCTCCGGGCCTGCTCCGGCCTCGGCGACTCCTCCCGCTCCTCCTCCTCCGGCTTGCGGGCAGCAAGGCGGGCCCGGCGGCGGGGCTGCTTCTGCTGGGTGACACGCGGATCGCGCTGTGGCCTTTTACCGGCTGGGGAAGGGCCGGGGAGTCTCCGTGCCAACGGACGTGCCGGCTGGGGGGAGCCTCTGGAGGTCACCGTCCTCTGTGGGGGCTCACGTTTGGAGATGCCCAATTTGTGCGTAGATTTGGGCGGGGAGGGGATACCGTGACTGGGAGTTGCCTGTGCGTGGCGTGGCGTGGACATGACCCCTCTCGCTTCCTTGGTCCTGCTTGAGGTTAGGCCTACCAGCTGGCAGCCTGCTCTTTAGGCTGAAGAGCGGGCCTGGTCTTGACAGGGGTATCAATTTTGCTGATTGCCTACCTCACTGAGGTGGAATGCTTTACAATGCCATAAAAATGCACTGTTGTATAGTTTTATGCTAATTATATTGTAATTTAGGTTTTTTTTTTAATTAAACTTGAAAAAAATCCAGTTTGTCCTCAGTTCTGGCTTTTGATGTGTTCTCTGGTTCCCATTTGCAGAGTACCGTCCATGATTTGACAGTCCACCGTGCAACTCCTGAGGATATTGTAAGTTTAACAGCAATCACTGCTCCTTCTCTGTAGCAAGGAGATCTAGCTGGTTTTCTAGCATAAGTGTTTACCATACTTATGGGGATGTTTTCTGCCAATGTTTAATCTCCCTTTTTAAGCTTCTGAAAATACTGGCTCTTTAGTGTTAGTTCTTTGTTTATGATATCATGCATCCCCAGCTCTGGCAGTTGGTGTTTTTCAGTTTTCTGTTTCCATTGGGAAGCAGGAGCTGTAGTTTTTATTACAATAAAGTATATACCAGCATAAAAGCATAAAAACATAAATGCATAAAAACATAAATTCGTAAAAACTCAGTGGAGTAGTTGAAGTTAAGTCTCGTCTCTGTTGGAGGGACTGAAAGACATGCTTTATTTTAGGAATCTCTCTAATTCTGAGGCTATCCAATTTTCATTTAAACAATTTAGCATAATTTCTTTGTACTGAATGACCTGTTCATTACAAAATATGTGAATTCCATTTCATTTTCCTTGGTAGCACTGATTACCAGTATGTAATAGGCAGTATGAGCTGTTGTTGCTTGTAAATTTTGACAGGTTAGTCAGGACAGATGGGCACAAGAGCGGAGAGAGACTTGATTCTGTAAGTGGTTGGCTTGATAGCTTCCAGACACTTTAGCAAGCACCTCACACATTTAATGTGTTTAATTTGTATTTAAACTGAATCTCTCTCTCTCTCTCTCATTGTTAGAAGAAGAGAGATAATATCTCTGGTGACTGACAGTGTTAAATCAGGGAAAATGCATTATGTCTTTTTATGCATATTGTAGGTGCTAGTGTTTGGGTTTTGTCTCCCTTTACAGCTGAGAAAACTCTTACTGGGTCAGTGGTATAGGGCAGATGGAAACTGTGAGACTTTCCCCATACACCTTTGGAGCCACTTTAAATTTGGCTGGTACTGATGGCATTTTACACTTCTGGTTATTTGTGAGGCTGTCGTTGGTACTACCATGAAGTTAACATAAATAGTATTCAGCGCATGAATGATAAAATCAAGAAGAGCTTGTTAGCGTTACCGTGCAAATTTTGCTTTAGAGTGTCCCTTGATTTTGAAATGGTTTCTTTCATGTTTACGTAGCTGCGTCGCCATGAAATACACAAATCAAAAAACAAAGCACTGGCGCATCTGGAACTGCAAGAGAGAGCACTGAAAAGAAAATGGAAGAAGCAAAAACAACCGGCTGCTGATTCCTTGGAGAAAAGGAAATTGACTCTGATGCGTGAGGTGAGAGCTAAATCTGCACTTCGGCCTGCTGCAGGTGATTTGCAGCAGTAGTGGAAAACTGCTCTTGCACATAGGTCAACGTTTGCTCCTCTTGTTGGATAATTTGACTTCATATATGCCTACACTCTCCCTCCTCTGTGTGTTGCGTGCATGTAATGATTGGAATAGGCTTTTCATATGTATCACATATATATAACATATTAACTGATCTATACAGTTGTGCATTTGATCCTTATTGCCTGGCTATGCTCTCTGTAATTCTGCAGGCCTCTTTGCATCTGAACAGGAACTGTTTGCAGAGTTGAACTGTGTGTTGTGAAAAAGATGTGCGTTCTTTGTGTTCTTACTGCTATCTTGCCTTCTCCTCCCCCATCTAGTATTTTTCTTTGATGGAAACATGAACATTTCTCTTTCTGGGAGGGACGTCCTTATCTGCCATCGCTTATTTAAACAGAGAAAATGCAGAGTCACAGGGGCTGAAAGGGTGAGGCAAGAAGTTGATAAGGAGGAGCTTGTCTGGAAGGAAAATTGACACAACAAAGGTTGAGGAGCTATGGCTGCTAGCAGACAAGCTTGTCACCTGGGGATCGAAAAGCTTGTTCTTTAGGCATTCTGAAGCACTCTGACTGACAATATATTGTTTAATTTGCTTTTGAATATTGAACTGTAGCAGCAAATCTAAGCTTAGCTAACAGAGACAGTAGCTGTCATTGTCTGAAAAGGGATTTCAGTGGTAGACAGACATCCTTTTGTTTCACATGGCAGGCGACTCCTTGCCATATGTTATGAAAACTAATCTCAAAACATAGTCATTAGCTTTCAGACCTCATCAGCACTTGGACAAACTGAGAATTGTTTTTGTTGGTAAAGAATGATGATGAACAATGTTCACCTAGCAGTTAAAATAAACATGATTTAGTAGTCCTGTAAATGTGCAGTGTATTAACCATCACAGACGTTTTCTCTCTTTCATCTTTTGTAAATTTTAAGAAGCCTTTTTCTGATCTCTGAGAACATTCAAGCATAGACAGAAACAAATGAAAGTAGTTAGAATTGAAGATCACCTTCTAGTTTGCTATTTGACACCTGTTTCTCTGCAATCACAGTAGAATTTTTGTGTTAAGGATATCGAGCTAATCAAGCCTCAAACTTTAATTTTGACCTTTGTTACTTGCATGCTTTTGCGCCAAGTGCATTTTAGTGGAGTGTTCAAAAAAGCTGTGGACTTTTATACAAATTTCCCTAATGTAATAGCAGGCTAGTTTCAATAAGGCTTCCATTCAGAAATAAATTATGTATCACAAAGGTAGATTAGACTATCCGCTCTAAGATTTGGCTGGACTACCTATTATTTGACTTTGTTATTTTGCAGATGTGAAACTCATGGTTAGGAAATAGTCTTCCGTATTTGTTGCCATTTCTAATGACAATGCACAAATTTCAATTCCTCCTGAGTAGCTTTCCCCTTCATATTTAAGAGATGACTTTATTCAACATACTATGTGTCTACTTCTGAATCAGAGAAAAGATGCTTCCAGATAGGAAGACAAAAGGAGACGATGCCAGGCAAGATGAAACCCCTCTGGCTGTTGCTGTTTGAAACACTGGCATCTTCTTGTGTGTAGAGAAAAAAAATAGATGGAGGAGAGTCACCATTTTTGCCTGTCCCTAGCTTAAATCTTGTTAATCGCTAGGTCCTGTTGTTCAGAGTAACTGGGGAGACTCTTCAGTCTGTGTCTCCCAGTACAGCACAACCTCTGTGGATTGTCTCCTTGTCTCTGTTATCTTGGTGATCTTTTTTCCTTATTTACTGCTGTGAGAGTGTAGCTTCCTAAGCCTCTTGAATCCTACTGAACTGCAAAAGACTCGGAGACAAAAACTAGGAAGATGCTGCTACTAGTTTGTTTTTTCTTGTAGTTGTATGTTGAAGAGAAAGAGAGCAAGAGTTATAAAATGGATGAGCAAAATTTTAATCTTTTGGGGATGTGTCTGCCTAAAAATCTGAATGAAAAAATAATACGAGTTCGTTTCTGTAACTGTGGCTTGTGAATGTGTAGGTACCACACTGATTGGTCCTATAACAACTTGTTTTTACAATAATGTTAGTGTGTTGCACGGGAGGGTAGGTGCACGGGAGTGTGTTATCACAGCGGGGAGGTTTTAGGATTAGTCCTGTTTAATTATCTGTAGTAACAATCTGAAACAGGAGGGAAGATGAATTTTAATGAAATTCATAGGTAGTACTAAACTGGGACAAGGTACAGCACTCAGTGAATTTGTCGAGGGCATGTAAGTGGGCCTAGAGGGGTTAGAAGCTGATAACACTTTGTTTTCTGCTGATCACAAGCAAATGTGAGCTAATCTACCTTGGGAGCAATGCTCTAAAAATGTTCATAACATGTTCAGCAGGAGGGAGAAGCTTAGGAACCTGCTGATGCTGAAACAGATCTAGTAGGGAGGGTGAAAACAAATTAATCAGGATAATTTTTGTCTGATTAAACACGTCACTTTAGTTTTAATTGCGTTAGGGAAAGGAATCATGTTTTGGGACAGGTAAACTTTTTTTTTTTCCCCTTCTGCAGATCTGGCATGACTTTGTCTAAAAACTTGTTTTGACATCGGATGGCTAAATGGAAAGACTAGATTTAGTTAGTATCAAGTGTGAAAACTGAACAGTGATTTGGAAAAGTAGATATGTGAGAGGCCATCGGATGGCTAAATGGAAAGACTAGATTTAGTTAGTATCAAGTGTGAAAACTGAACAGTGATTTGGAAAAGTAGATGAGATGACTGAAAGATGAATATTCACTGATTTGCTAAATTGGTTATGAGGAGAAGTGTAATGTATTGCAGTGTAATTCAGGCTCAAAAGACTAGAAAGACATGGAAACTAGGTATATGGGGAAACTTCTTGACATAACAAAGCATAGTAAAATGGGGGCTGGGGGGAGAACAGGTGAAATGCCACTGCCTAGAATTTTTTGAATGAGGCTGAATATAAACCAGCAAACTAATCAATGGACACTGAAAGGAACTCTGTGGAGATAACAGCATACAGTGCTCTGAAACTGCTGCCAACCAGTCCCTCTTATGATTCCTGGGGGAGAAAAAATTGTCGCTCTGTTTTCAAATTTTGAGTAGGAGGGCATACATGAGCCTGTCTTTTCTGTGGGATCTTCTAAAGTACTTGCAGACTCTCTGGCTAAATTTGATTAACCACGGTGAAGTGGAGGTCACTTACATATCTGGTCTCCTCTCAGGTGTTTAAGAATAACTACCTTCTTCCCAGGTTGTGGGATATAGTTTTACTAGTTTGCCATTTCCACCTTTGTGAATGAAACCACAAGTCAGTGAGGAGTTTTGAATTGTGTTCTGCCCATGAAGCTGTGTCCACAGTCAGCTCCATTCGGCTCACAGTAGCTGAATGCCTCTTGCTTTGCACTCAAAAACCTCCCTCCTTAGGAAGCAGCTGTTGTGGTGCCAGGGATGGACTTCAAATACTGGGGGAGAGCGACCTTGAAGAAGAAGCTGTGCCTTGTGAGAAATGCGTGGAGATTACACCTGGCATCAGAAGATGTGTTGGGAATCAGCTGTGTTTATGTCTGTTGAAACTTTTATGGCAGTATGTGGCCTAATTTTTAGGCAGGATTTTCAATAGTCATGGCTGAATGAAACAAGTCTGCCTGAATTGGTTTGGATCTAATCAAATAGTGCAGATTTTGGGTGTCTGTCAGATGTAGATAAGTGTTCTTTGACTCAACAACATTGAGATCAAATGATTTGAGGAGGCATACTGATTTTATTTTTTTTTAATTGTCAGATACATGTCTTCGTTTTGATGAATGTGTCATAAACACCCAGCTTCTTGTTTGTGTCAGGCTGGGAGCAGAAGAAGGGAGTGAGAGGATTTGCTCTAATGAGAAAGAGTCAGTGCTGATGGGGGCCCCAGAAGTAACAACCGCTTAATTTTTCAGAAAAACAATTGTAGTCACTCAGAATAAAGTATGGTTTTTTGGTCTATCATAATTAGGGCCTAATTGCACAGTACCAACTCTGCAAACATTGTTCTGTTGGCTGTTCTCTCTCACTAACTGTTTAGAAGAACAATACCAAAAAACCAAAGGAAAAATCAGTCTGCTCAGATTGAAATATTGCCTTATACGCTATACTTGCAGATTCTGTCTGATCAATACCATTTGCAAGATGTATTGGAACGATCTGATCAGGTTATGGCTGTGGCAAAAGACTTGTTTGGGGATGTTCCTCGCACGCGAACAGGTAGACCGTCTCATTTATATGTGGTAGTACATTTAAGATTATCTCCTTGCTTTTCATAAATAGCCTTGCTTTGCAAAGTATTCTTTTTAACTGTTTTCATCTCATCATCTAACATAGTATGATTGATCCTGTTCATGTTGGATGAAACACAGATGAGGATAACACCTCCCGTGGCAGGGGAGGGTGAGCCGTGGCCGGTTATTCTACTGTATTGGTCCATTGTGGAATTTTGTATCACTTACTGTGAAACACCTGATGCTCACCATTTCCACAGCCAAGCTACCGGCCTACACAGAGCACCAGTTCGAGCCACTGTAGTAGTTCTGGTGCGCATTGCTACATGGGTTGACTGCTTGCTCTTGGATATTGTTGAAGATTTATCATCAATTCACGAACAAGGCTTTTCCTTTTCTTATCCTGGTTAGTGGGTCCTTACGCTGCTGAAAGGCAGGATTGGCTGTTTGCATGTGAAATCTTAAGCTTAGATTCTTTTCTCTGTAGGCTGCCATTCTCTTTCACTTACAATGACTGTTTCATCCTATATGCTTCTTCTGCACAAGTGTATTTACACAGGTGAGAAGGACAAAGGCCTGGTACATGGCCGAATGTATTAAGATAACTCTATGGTTGACCTTTGGCAGTTGTTTAAAGCGACATACATCCCTGTGACCCTTTCTGTGCAAAGTACGGGAGCTTGCTTTTTGATACAAAGTCCTGTGACATACTACAGACCTAGTCCTCTGTGTTCTTCCCTATTTTGTCTGATTCCTCTAGGTTTCCCTAATGTAACAATGGCTCCTAACTGTGACCTAGAATCATCTCAAGGACCCATTGTACAAAAATGTGATCCTCCCACTCAGCTTTCCATCCTCAGTGAATCTGTCATGGATTCCCAGGTAATGTATATTCAGTTGCATGCATGTCCTGTAGCTTTTTTGTTTGCACAAAATAAGAATATTCAAAGGTAGAGTTTCCAAGCAGACCTACACCTTTCTTCTGTGTATTGATAACATATTGATAACATGTTGATAACATAGGTAGAAAATAGTATTAAATGGAGGTGAGTTGTTTTGTGAGACTCTGGGAATAATTTTTTTTTTTTTTTAATTTCTTAACCTCTGAATATGAGAGACACCAACTTCTTATGTCTCATAGAAGCTCTTTCATACAGCATGCTCTCCCTGCTAAATTCTGGAATTATCAGCAAGAGAACAAAGTAATTACAGACTAAGAAAACAACTCTTGTGTTACTTAACTAATTGCTACATAGCAAAATATGCCTCTGATTTTCTAATTATGTCTGCATATATGGGGACATAGCGAGTTGGGCTCCAATTTATTTCTGATGACACAAATGAAAATGTACCCCAGTTAACTCCACAGCCTTGATTACTTCTAAAAGTTTTAACTTTTAATACTTCACATTCTTTTACAATTATTTAGATTAATTTAAAAAGTTTAAAAATTCTTTACATTTGTTTAAAATTTCATTTAGGTTGCCTTTGTGTTCTGTTTTCTTTTCATAACATGAGTTGTACCAGGAATGCTCACTGTGGTTTGAGAACAGGCATATGACACTCCCGGAAATCAGCTTACTGATGAAGACCAAAAGGGCTGTGGGAGTGAAAGTGATGGTGTCATATTCTCATGGTTCTCTAATCCTGTTTCCTGCTATCTTGTACAAATATCTGCAATTTGAGTTGCAGTACTGCTCTGTCATGTATTTCGATGTGGTATTTGTTTTTTGGGGTTTTTTTAATATGAAGAGTTAACTATAGCATCTTTATAAGCTGTATCACTGGATGCATGCTGCAGGATAGGCTTAAATTTGAAAGACACATGTACTGATAGTTGTCTGCTGAGCTTCCATGAGATTTTCTTTTCCTTACTTGCCTATGAAAATTATAGTTAAAGGCTATTTGGTGAAGCCTACCCAGAAGCGCAGAAACCTGCTAATTTGAGGAACCCTAATTCCAAATTTGATTGCTTCAGTTTTGCTAGGAATGTGGTACGTAGGATTGTATTTTGTTCCGGTTGCATTTTACACATAGAATATAAATGTAATTTTGCAGATCTCATTACAAGGTTGTTTAGCTTGTAATGTCAAGTGGTTGAAATTTTAGAAATGCTATAATTATGTGGATTTTTCCATCTTCTGTCTGCTATATCTCTGTATTTGTTTTGGAACATTCTTTAAAGCTTTTTTATCCTAGTGTGTGTGGTCTTTCTTAATATAAATCATCCAAATAAAATATTGGATATTGAATTAATTGCTTGCTGTGTTATTTTCAGAGACAATTGTCAGTATTAGTATTTCTTAGGTACTAAAGTCCCCCAAAACTCTTCCCACAGAGGGGTGTGTTTTTCTTTCTTTCTTTTTTTTTTTAATTTTGTTTTGGAGGTAGAAACTGAAACAAATGTGTTTGGTTTTTTTTTTCTTGAAACAATTTCAGCAAATTGATCCCTAACTTCTTCCTAAAGACAAATTGAAATTGCTCTGAAGTCCCTTTTTTTTTTTTTTTTTTGTCTCCTAAAAAAGCCCTTAATGAAGTTGAAGAGGAAGCATTATCAATCTATCAATCAGAAGATGGACACCATGACTCTTTGAATTTCAAATCCAGCATCAATTCTGACAGCTCAGTACAAATATATCCATTCAGGTTTCCACCTTCTTCATGCTGGAAATAGATGGAGTTAAAAGGGTGTTGCATGAGTATAGCTAAGTTTCTAGGGAAACCCCTTGTTGTAACATTCAGACTGGGAATGAATGTGAGCAGGGAACTCACCTGAGCAGTTATAGATATTTTAAAAAGCTCTTTCTAGACTCTACAGATAATCTAGAATCCTGTTATCCTATTACAATTCACTGTTATTCTTGTTTTGAATGTAGGCTACTTCGGTTATTGAGAGAAGAAAATTCCTTGGTGAATTCTCAGTTGTGGGCTGAAAAGGATATGAGAAAAGCTACCTTGTCACAGGAATCAAATGTGCCTTTGACTCCAACAACTGTTTCTCCATCACTGGATCAGTCAGGTTGGATTTGCCAAATCACAGCCTCTCAAGGATTGTTAGGCTGTTCACAGGACCCTGTCTGGAATTCCTTTTCTGGGTGGGGGTGAGAGACAGAGACATGTGCTAATCTGGCTCAGATGAATTTCCAGACTTAAAAAGCCAGCTTTTCTAATAAAATTACTTTACCACATATTACTATTAAGAACATACCCGAAATATTTCATGTGTGTATTTTTTGTCTTGTTTTGTGTTCAAACCAGCCCTCAATGCTACCGATGTAGTCAAGAGAATCCATTCAAGACCTCAGAATGAAGGTGAAGAAGAGACTGCAGATTCCGCTTACACTGTGAGACAAGTGCTGAACCCGAAGTCAAGGAATCAAAAGCAAATTGCAGCAAAAAGTTTAGTACTTTTAAAAATAGTATATCTCCCTTTGACCAAGGTCCTTAATATAATAAGAAAATGTAGGTTGAAAGGGATCTTTGGAAGTTGTTGTAGGACTAACTCCAAAGTTTGATTAGGCGGGGCCTTGTCCAGCCGAGTCTTGAGCATCTCTAAGGATGGACATTCCATAGCCCCTTGTGTAGTGTGTTCTTCTGTATTCCGCACGTTCATTGGCGAAGCAAAATCCATAGGAATCTGGGAACCATAAATATGGCCCTTTGATGCTGCCCATTACCTTGCTAGCCATGGAGTTCTCTCCTGTGCAGGGCTTTTCTTTTTCTGATATAGCTTTCTATTCTATGCTGCACAGACTTATGGTGCATTTCAGTCCCCATATTCTACACACATGTATATGTGGGGACTGACATCACATACAAACTGTAACATGAAGGGATTGTTGTAAAAGAGTTGCTCACTAAATATGAGACCTGAAAGCAGCTGATATTTTTCACTGGCTGTTCACTGGCAAACTGTTTCCATGCTTTTAACTGAGAAGGAGGAAAGTATAAACAGGTATCTAAGATAAAAGCACCAAACAATCACACTTGAGAGGTACTAACGCTGTGGCAGAAAATATGTTTTGATGATCTGAAAATAACTGGAATGACTGGGGACGTTCTTTGATGGTCCATTTCAGCTCAGGGCAAGAGAGGGCCTCTCCTTTGATTTATTTCAATAAACAATGTAATTTCATTGATATTGCAAAGCTTTCTGTGCAAGTTGAAATTCCAATGACACTTCCCCCCCCCAGTGAAAAGAAAACAAACTGCACAGAACTCTGCAAGACAGAAGAGAGATGATTCTCCAGCTAATTCAGTCCCCATTGACCTTCGGAGGGACAACAAATCCAGCCTAGATGTTCTCAACCACATGATACGTGAACTGGAGCATGAATTGGAGGAATATGAGCGATGTACAGGTCGTGAGGTTCAAAAAACTGAGAGAAGTGAAGGCCTCACCGGGTTTACCTTGTCACTGGTGAACGCTCTCTGTCGTTTGATGCGCTACCTCAAAGAGGTGAGAAGACTTGAATTACTTCTGTAGACTGAATGAAAAAGGGTATAAAGTTTATTTTACAAATGTGAACTTTGGTCTTTCCTGGCTCCCAATCAGTTTACTTTGAAGTCTGATTATCATTGCTTATTATTTGGATTGCATGCAATTAGGAATTAAAACTTTTAGTTTGCTGGAAACAGGTATTCTTAATGAAGAGGGAGGAGTTGACTGCAATGAAAGTCTCTCAGTGACTATCAGCAGAAAATAACAATTGAAATAGTTTTAAATTTGTTATTTAAAGATATTCAGAGTTGTAGTAGGGTATTAACTACAGCCTTGTTTACAAATTCATTGTCTTCCTTTGCCTCGCAAAGGCAATGCTATTGTCACTAGAGCAGTGGACCCAAATCCCCAATTTTCTTTGAGGGATTCCTTAGCTCTCTTTTTCTATCCATAGCAGCAACTTCACCTTAAGCAAGAATGACCTGAAGTGCTCGCTATAGCAGTGCACAGCTGGGGATCAATGGAATTCCATAAAGAAGACTACCTGTAAGCCATGTAGAACTCCTTTTTAAAAAAGAAAAAGAATGGTTTTTATTTCATCTCTAACCCAGAGCTACTCAAGATGCAGCAGTGGCTCACAGATTCATTGGGCCTATGTGAAATTTTGAACCAGATTGTGGCAGTTCCTGCACTCCTAATAGACACAGCAGAATATGTTATCTAAATCCCAATGCTCCATTTCATAGCAAAGGCAATAGATTCCTAATGAATGTGGAACTGTCCCATTTTGGTTCCTTTTCAGAGTGTGTAATAATAATTGGGGAAAAAACCCACTGTATTTCAAAATTTAATTTTTTTTTTTGTCTGGTTGTATAATAAGTTATTCCTTGTATTACCCTGTATTTAATCTATATGGAAGCATTTACTTTAAGACCTGTCTTGGAAGCAAACAATAAATAATAAATTCAAGAGTAAAAAGCCACTACCATCAGAAGATGGACTTTGGCTGAGAAGATCTTATGTTTTAAAAGAAGTTAAGAATGCTTGTTCTCTGTTAAGGTTGTGATACCAAAGCAGGTATTAAATTTGGTTCTTTTGCAGTTACGGAAGGATCTTGGAAGGATCTTCTGGACTTCCAATAGAATGTTTTCCATTTATTAGGAAACCATCAATTTAATAGCATCGAATTCATATTATAGTTGCAGTTATAACCCTATTCAGATTGTCTTTAATTTGTGTTCCACAGAAATGAGTTATTCTTGACCCTCAGGCTTCCTCCAAAACGACTCCAGATCTTCTTTGTCATTTTTTTTCTTTCCTAGTTGCTGCTTTCTCTTTATGAATGTAACATTCAATCTATCTTAAGAGCTTTTATCCTATTCAGACAGAAGGCCAAGGAGTCTTGAGTGTTTAAGTAGGCTTCTTTTGAAAGATGTATACTAACTCTTACTTGTATTGCCAATTTTTACTGAGCACCTCTATGATGTTGTTTCTATTTTAATAGATGTGTTACCATTCCTTCCTCCCAGGAGTTGATTGTTGCTTGCAGAATTGTCTGCAACTTCTTTAGATTTACTACCTAAATTCATGAGTAGAAATATGCAGAAGTCGCTCAAGCTACAAAGTGTGGCTAATCATATTCAGAGTTGCTCACGATGGACAGTGTGCGTCCATAATCTTCACTGACTTCTCCCCTTTTCATGGAGCTTTAATTAGAATTAGAATTTGAGAATTCACTGGGAGGAAGCACAGCTTGTCTGAGTATTTCCTAAAACCTGGTCCCTGTGATGCTAGGAATAAATCAAGTGCTTGTGTGCACCATCTGTCTTGCCTAGCAAAGAGAGATGTTAGCAAAGTTCCAGTGCCTCAATTACAGCTGGCAATGCATTTCAAGAAAATGACTTTGCAGCGGTTGTGTAAAAAGCCTCTGATTTCAGGTAAACAATCAGTCTTCATGAGGTTTTGAAGCTTCTAGAAAGATTTTCTTCCTCTTCTGGGGAGAAAATAATATTTTCCAGCTTTGCTGCAGAAAAGCTAAATGCAGAAAAATTACAATAAAGGATGTTACTTAATGTATTCTCAAAGCTATATATAAAAAGTAGGAAGAGAAAAATTACTGAATCTTTCATGAAAGTTGTATTAATAAGTGATTAAAAAATCAACTCCTACAAGAAGAAGGAGGTAGTGAATATAGAAGAGGCTAGAGAAAAGGGGAAGAAGAAACTTTGGAAATGTTTGCCAAGCTATATGAAATTCTTAAAGGGAAGTGGATAAACCTGACTTGGTTCCTAAATGAATTTCAATGTCATCTGCCAAATGCTAGAATTAACTCCCCCCTGACCCCCTTGCCCCCTTCTGCTAAAAATGCTATTTCTTTGCCAGACTTGCAGGGCAAAAAGTTAAGAGTGTATGCATGCTACATTAATCTGTGTTGCTATGTTCTCTATCTCTGCTTCTGCCTATTCTGATGCAGTGTAAAAGCTTATGTGATTAGAGGTACACCTGTCAATGGACTGGAATGAAGATACTTCTTTCAGGGTATACCAGACGCAAATCCTACCTGACGGTAGGAATGGGTGTATACAGCTGTTAACCCTGACGCTGTCCCCATGCATAAATGTAAGACACATAGCTGCTTGGAAGCTTTTCCTCCAAGACAAGGTTAACGCTCTGTAGGGCAAGTAGATACAATAGCTCATCCAGATGCTCTAAGGCATCAATAGACTTCATCACTGCTGCCAGGGTTAAAGTTTTTATTCTGTGCTATCTTTGGTTTGTAAAAATATAAGACTGTCTACATTTTTTTCCATTTTCTGTGTCAGCCTGCTTCACTTGGATCAATACAGAAAAGCTGTTCTCTCTAGTTGGAAGAGAACCAGAAAATGGATGGCTTGTCTCTGATATGCTTAAAGGAGGTATATCTGCCTGTCTTTGTGAGTAGTGACAGTATCTGTGATTTAGTCTCAAAAATATTTATTTATTCATTCACTTTATGTGGCTGCAGAGCTGTTTTGTTCTAATACTTCTTCCTTGGTGATTTTTCACTTCTGGTCACAATGCCACCAGAAAATAATCTATGGTACGTTATGGGCAGCTCATGCTCTAATTTTGTCTGTGCAGCAGCAAAGAGCACCCCAATTGCTTTTCAGGATCTCTTGTATTTTGGAGACGGGATGTATTTCTCTTATTCAGGGATTCCTTTGAGTAAATCCAGGCAACCGTCTGGGGAAGGGCTCCATCTGCTAATTCTGATGTGTTTATGTGACTTTGTACCTTCCACTCTTTTAGCTATGATGGTCCAAAAAGTGGCAGTTGTGTATTCCATTTACCCGTTAGAGGTGGAAGGGACTCTTTTGTGTCTTGTACAGGAAGCCTGGCTACTGCAGTGGTCTATCTTAAAATAATAGATTGATAACGTCTTTTGAGGGCAAGAGGTTCTTTACAGTAAGGTCTTTTGCCTCATGCTCAAGTAGATTACTTAACAAATAAACCTTTTTGTCGTCTTTAAAAAAAATAAAATAAACGAAACCCTCTAGAACGTCTCCTCTCCCTGAGGGAAAACATTAGAAAGCAAGTATTTTCTCCTTTATTTAGTCAAATTTGTCTTCATTAATGAAGTAAGGAAACTAAAGAATGGGCACAAGTAGCAGAGGATACTGATGAGCATCAGCACACCTGGAGTTATTTGATTACTGCATGAAGATTCAGTGACTTAAAAAATGGTATCTGTGCAGAGTGACAATGCTTGTAGTTACAGCCTGTAAAAGTTGTAAAGGCAGAAGAACAAGGATGTGTAGGATTCCCTACAGTGTGCTGGAGTAACAAAGAAGGAACAGTGAGCTCGCTGACAGTTCTCAAGCCCTGAAATAGGATTTTGTCGTGAAAGTAATGAAGTCAATTTAGCAATAGTGGGAAGAGCTGTTGCAGTGTGATGTCATATGGACTCCTTCCTGTTTCCAAATATGAATCTGTATTGGTTTATAGTAGGTTTATAACTTTTCTTTCTCTTCAGAGTGAAATGCAGCTGCGTGAGAAAGAGGTGATGAGGCAGCAGCATGAGGAGATGTTGAATGAACACAGAGAACTGATTGATGCTCTGACTGCAGAAATACTTCTGGTGAGGGAAGAAAATGTTACTATGCAGGTACTGAACCCCCCTTGCTCCTTACCCATCAGGATGACTTGTTAGAATACTGAGTTGTGTTGCAAATATGGGCTGAGATGCATTGTCTCATGTTCAAGAGATTTTGACAATAAACAGAAAGAAAATTATAAAATTGAATGAGGAGCCTGAGAATTATAATAGCAGGTATGAGGTGGGGGGAAGGAATGATTGGAAAGTCATTATTTTATCTTCACTTATAATGTTTAACTCTGAGGCCTGAGAATCATAGAATCATTGAGGTTGGAAAAGACCTCTAAGATCATCGAGTCCAACCGTCAACCCAACACCACCATGCCCACTAAACCATGTCCCTAAGCACCTCATCTACCTGTCTTTTAAATACCTCCAGGGATGGGGACTCCACCACTTCCC